AATTGTCTGGTGGCGCTTGTAGGCCATACTTTGTCGATGGCAGACGCGATACTTCTAGGGTGTAGCTTGACTGCAGCGTGTACAATTGGCCGAAGTCGAACAGACATCTTAATGTCACGCACCAACATACTGTGCATTAGGTTGTCGAACTTGCTTATGTCGAGGACAAAGCATTCCTGCATAGCCAAAGTAGCCTCAATAAAGCACTGAAAACTTTCTGCATCCAGATCCTCTCTGGCATAAGCCTGGGGGAAGAAGGTGCGCCGACACAGCAAAGCAGCTAGGACGCAGTACCGAGCTCCTCTTTTTTCAATGTCCAGCTGCAAGGCGTTTCGAGTCTCCATTTGTAGATGGTCAATCCACTTCAGTGTAATGCGGCGTATTTTGAGCAGCAAATCTCCGGCTTCTGCTCTTGATGCTTGGCAGCCAAGATTATGTACCTGTATGGTCAAGGTGAGCATGGTCTCCATATACGTCACTTCGCGCCAGTTTGGAGCTATTATGGAAACGTGTTGGTCGATTTGCTCCAACAGCCTTCTACAAAATTGAACGTCTTTGAAGATGGCATGCACCACGCGAAAGGGATCATCCTGCAATTGAGGACCGACTTGCAAAGCAAGGTGGTGCAACAGAACCATTGCATCGAGCGAGCTTAAATTGATATTCGAAGAACCAAGCTCAGTGAGTATTGTCAGCCACCGGCGATGCTTACCAGACATCAGAGCTTGATGAGCCAAGAATTCATGTACTGTCACTGTTGGCGGACATTCACGCATTGTTGCTATGGCCTCATAAGAAGATGGACCCGAGCCAGAGGGAGCAAAGCTTGGAGAGGAGTACAGCTTTGCGAAGGGGAGGCTTGGGGGTAAAGAAAGAACGAAATGGTGTGCAATTGTGAGCGGTTCAGATTTGCATTTGGCCCACAGCCGTCGGTCAGAATCATAGTAATGGAAGGTTAACCCAAATGGACGCAAAATACTGCTCTCTGATGCGGGAAGGGACTTTGATTTGTAATGTGTTTTGAGATGAGATTTTGTAGAAGATGCAAGTGTTAAGCCTCCATTAGATCTCTCCAAGTAGACCGAATATGGTTTGTGTTGCCGGAGCATCATCTGGGGTGACCCTTCGTGTGTCGCGGGTTTCGTGGGGCTGAATCGGTTGATTATAGTCCAAGTCGCACTTCGGTATGCACTGAATACCTTGGGAGTCCTTAATTCAAACACTATGGCTCTTGTCTCATACAGCTTCTCGTCTGTAGGCAAGTAATCTTCATGGATGGTAATCTCTAAACGTCGACGGCATCGGACATAATAGCAGTGGCTGCATCCTCGTATATCATGAGTACCATCAGGGTGTCTCCGCTGAGTACAGATGCTATTATTGATGGACCTCGTCAGTGACTCGAATTCTTCATTGATATCAGCGAGCTCTGACTCCTTCAAAGCCCGGGCCACCGAAGATGCCTTTTCAATCTTCCTTTGCAGTTGAACCAGATCTCTGCCAATCGGGAGTCCCAAAAAGCGATCTGCAAAGCATCCTGGAGCTGGATCAGAGAAAATTGTCATATCCCCCCTAGATGCTGCAGTGCAACGGTCTTGGAGGTATAGCTGGATCTTCTGTAGTCGTTCTAAATCGACGTATCTCGACAAAAGCAAAACATCCAACTGCTCGTCGCAGAATACAGGACGGTACTCGCAGATCAAGGGATAAACACTCGTGGCGCATTTGTCCATGAGTACCCATAGTTCCAATACGTTAAGAATGAAGGAACTCATTTGTTCGTGGTCGCTGTCGTGAGACTGTCCTACCACATCTAGGTAGCATGTTATCTGACGGGCAGTATCGAGACACACCTCATCACTTTTACCTTCCGACATTGGGGACTGTTCTTTTCGGAATTCGATGTCAAGCTCAGTCTCGGCAATCGGAGAATATTTCTTGACCAGAGATACAAACTGATCGCCAGTGTTTTTGTCTATATGGCTGGAAACGTCGAATGGGTCTACAGTTCGAGGTCTGTTAACCAGGGTCCCAGGGAGGCTCCTCATGACATTTTCAAGATAGGAGATGCTGTTTGGTAAACTCAAAACAAAGTCTGTGTCCTTGGCATAGATTGGCAACTGCGGTATCTTGCGCTGAATCCGCTTCTTAAATTCTTCCCATTCACCACTGATGGCGTTTCTCATGACGGTGACGGATTGTTGGCAAACAGGATCCAGCTTCTGGGAAAGTTGGGCATGCAAAGTTCTCATTTCTGTTGAGGAGGTTTGCATTTCCGTTTCTAGCTTGGCTAGCCGGCGGCATAATTTGGTGTTAAGCCAGCTCCATTGCTCAGGTTCCAATACCTTCCTATCGACAACATTCCCAAGTAGCTCTGCCAGGACAAAGCAAAGCAGAAACTTGTACTGCAGACGACCTAGGTCACTGCCCAGACGCAGATACAGCAATCGTTGTATAGACACTCGAAGCACAAGCCAAAATGGACTTCGCCGCCACGGAAGCTCGGCATTGTCCCAGCAAACGTCATCCTTGACACGCTTTTGTAATGCCGGTGGGCATATATGGCTGCCGTTCACCCCGAGCAGTGCTATAAGGAATTCTGTGATGATGGACGGGTCGACAGTATTGCGTCTCTCAACCACCTCCTTCCCAGCTTTCCTTGCTTTAGCTGCGAATTGCTCCAGTTGTTCTGTGCTCGCCTTTTCGAGAAAGTCTGTAAGAGAAGCTTGGAGGACTGGGTTTTTGAATTCTTCGACAGAAAGCGATACTGCCGTCCCTGGGAATGTCCATCTTAATGCTCCCGAGGCGGCCAGTGTTTCCTCTGCGCTTGGCGATGTTTCAAAGGCCTCAATAACCACATGATCACCATTCCTGATAATGATTGGTTAGTACTACGGCGCAAATTGATAGATTAGACCTACTGTGGAATTCGAATAAGTAGTGCTGCGTTCTGCTCTCCGATATTCACGATGACAGCTCCCCCTGGATGTAGTTCCCCAAATGCGTCAAGCAGAGCGAACTTGTTCACCATTCCATTTTGATTCACTGCACTGCATTTTTCGAGTGTCAAAAGGATTGACTCCCAGACAGCCTTCGCAGCGTCATCCGAAACATGGTAGAGGGTCTGAACTGCAGAACGCAAGCGGATGATGAGATCGCGTTCTACCTTTTCTGGCTCCCGGTCCTTTTTCCCAGGAAGCTTGGGGGGAAAAGCGATATGATTGAAAACGTCCATAAGAGTCTCAGCGACGGACATTTTGGTGAAGCTTGGTGATAGTAGTATGGTACTGCGCCAAATAAGAGTGTTTGTCAACAGATGTCAACGAGTACCACAGGCAGTGTTTAAATAGGCGCGACGGGGCCAACTCACCACCTGGAGCAAGGAGCACAATCCATGTTAGCTGGACATACCAGCGGCGCCTACCAACGCAGCCTTATCTTGATGGTAGCAAATGATGGGACCCCTGTCTGATTATCTTGCCTATATGGACGCGTCACGGCGCCAACGGCAGAGTAGAGAGTGATGTGGCAGTGTGTTATTAGTTGCTGTCAACCTGGTAGCCTTTCCCAGTTGACCAGTAGTGATCTAAAGTCGGTATACATTCTCCAAGTGAATCGACAGGAAGTGAATGCCTCCGAAAACCTTTCCAGTGTTCCTCATTTCTTTTGTATGCGTCAGGGTAGAGAGCATGTGAGTGAAAGGCGGCTACATCACAGAATGGCGTTCCGTCATGTCGTAGCTGAGGGTCATCGATTCTACTGATATTGTTTAAGTTTTAGTCAAAGTTCACTTATGACTTCAGTCTCATAGGTCATGCTCAATCATTGATCCTAGTAACTAGTACGTAAGGTCGGGAGTCACTGCCCCAGCCGCTGGCGAAGTGCATCATTGCACTGTCACAATGCGTTCCACGCCATTCACATGGTCTAGAGAAGTTTTGCCTATCAGCATGTGGTTTCCGACAACAGCCTTGCGGCGCCAGCGCCTATGGTGAGGTGTTTTCTGATCAAATTAGTGGCCAACCCTTCCACTGCTCGCATCGACAACTCGGTAGACAGTATGATAGGATATAAATACTTACTATCGATGCATGCAGATCCTAGTAGCGCCCACTGCGCCTCAATCACTTCCATTTCACTATAGATTATGATGATTGAGATAGATTTAAGCAACGGCAGGATGTCAGGAAATTGGAATTCAGTTGTGCGGCTACGATCAGGTGATGCGCGTGTCCGCTTAGATAGGAAGGCGCGATCGGGGACTGAAAAGGTTGGACGCATCTTTCGTGTTCTGCTACTGGCACAGCAAATCTTGGAGGGTGTCCTAATGTTTGGTTCATAAAATGTCGCCAAAATCCTGAACGATCCCACGCCAATCAGGCAGCAAGGATCCCCAATCAGGTACGACTAAGTGACCTATCGATTAGGTCGAGACACTGAGGGGAAACAACTCGGGAGGGACCTAATTCGCGGATATTAGCCCAGGCCCGATCAGCCTCGCGAGCCTTTGAACAACAGACAAGCCTAGTACTTACTATCCATGATGTCTCGGGCCCGAAACTTGGATCGCCCACCTATAGGATATTAGTTCCCACACGGCGCAGCGTTGAATATCCATGCTCCACTACATATCATTCGTCGATCGAAATCAGCCTTGGGAAACCATCTACCAATGGAGTGGCTCCGGAACCAACAATAACAATTCCCTCCATACTTATCGGCGCCAGCCTCGCAGCCCTGACTGCCTCCCAGGCACCAGAGAACTTTCGCCTGCTGCAGGCATACTCAAGGGCTTTCTCTCGCGGTTTATAGTCATACAAAAAAGAGCATTGTTCTAATGAAATCACACATTATTGAGATATGACGGAGAAAATAGTATCTCCTCTATGTAGGGTATAAGACTCTAAAGTACACTTTTCGTAACAAACGCAGACAAGTCAAGCTCACAGCGACAAGTCTCGAAGCCACACCATCTATAGTGACTATTAAACATTACGACATCATGTCGACTCCTTCCCGAGACGATGACGTCTCCAGCTAACCGACATGAAGCAGATAGACGTCACCATCCCCAACCCAGCAAGTCCTATGCCGAGATAAAGTGCTCCGCGGTATCCCTTCAGGGGATTCTTCCCGCCATCGTTAACGTTCGACTCCACAGTACCGGCAAATCCCAGTCCCAGTGAGATGGAATAATTGACTGTTGTCGTGACAAGAGATGCTGCCAGACCCTGGTGGTGATGATGCATCGAATTACTCAGGATGAGTGTTCCTGATGGGAAGGACATGTCCCTGAAATCGGTTAGTATATGTAACAAAATTGGATGGGTGGACTTTATACGTACATTCCCCACGATGTAATCAGACTAGCGACAAACGCCTGCGCCCAGTACGTCTGATGCACAGGGACAGTGGCGAAGATGGCTTGTCCAGCAGTGAAGAAGCACATGGCGAAGAACATGATCACGCTAGGTGGTAGCTTTCCCAGTAGGAAGCCGGTGACCAGCGCAGCAACGGCACCAGACGGCGCGGCGGCGGACCATTTAGCGGTCGCGAGTAGTGGCGAGTCACCCTTGGTGACCTCCATGAACTGGTAGAAGTAGTAGATAATAATCCCGAAGCTAGACCAACCCGCCGCAATGCAGCCGAGCACCCAGGCCAGGTCACCGGAGAGGACCGATCGCGGGATCAACGGGCACGGGGCCGAGCGTTCAACGAGAACGAAGACGCCGAAGAAGACGAATCCAACAATCAGGAGGGCATAGGTGTAGGGCGTCTGCCATCCCACTAGTGCAGCCTGATTCCAAGCGAAATTAATCAGAACTAGAGCCGAGATACCGGTGATGGCACCGAGAATATCCAGTCGCAACCAAGCTGTCATGTTGTCTGTGAATTTCGGACGATGAGTAACGGGAATGACGATGATACCGAGCGCGGCCAGCACAAAGCACACCATCCCCATGACCCAATATGCCCACGGCCACCAGACAAGCTGAGCAAAGAGGGAAGAGAAGACACCCCCGACGATGAACCCGCCCGGTGCTGTGGCTCCGAAGCAGCTAAAGATCATCTCCTTGCGCAATCCGGGAGGATAGGCACGTCCGAGAATAGCGATGGCGTTCGGGAGTAACATAGCGGGACCAATTCCTTGCAGAGCTCGACAGCAGTCGAAGAAGACCTTGTTCGACCACACGCTGAATCCAGCCAGGAGGGACCAGAGACCGAACCAGGAGAATCCGATGATGAACATGAGTCGATGCCCGTAGACGTCTCCGAGCCGACCGGCGACCAGAATGAAGGTTCCGACAGTCAAGCTGTAAGCTGCGGCGAACCAACTGAGCTGTCCTGCATTTGTGGTGCCAAAGCTGGCGCCAATGATGTGAGCTGGGGCAATGGACATGCATAGGCCGGCTTGTGTCATGAATTGAGCCATGCAGACCACGGCAATGAAGATGATCTCTTTCCATAGTTCGGACGGGGGCTTGACGGCCGACTGGGCTGTCTCGAGCCGAGTCAGCGCTTCGGGGTCCTCATCATCGTCTAGGTTGGATGGCTTTTCCTGCAAGTCGCCGCGACTGAGAGTGGACTCGGAGTCGTATGGTGTCGACCCATCTAGACCTTGCTCTGAACGATTGTTGTCTGCAAGTTCCGACATATTCAATCACCACTGAACAGAGAGTGTTTCCGGCGCGAGAGTGCGGCCGAGCGGCCGAGCTTGGGGGCCCCATACATTATATATGAAGGGAAGATAATGCTCGATGAAGAATCTAGATAGATACCATTCCCTATGATGTCTGCCGTAGACCCACATCGTCGCCACCGTTGTGTAGCCCAGCAAGTTGATTCGTTGATGCTGAGCCAAAATGAGACCATTGGGGCAGAGGAAGGTTCACGTCCCGTCGGAAGCAAGACTGATCCGTCGGGAGTGGCAGCAAGGGACCATAGATAACATCAAAAAGGGGAAGCAAATGAGCCAAAATCACCCGAGCGGCATGCCGATAAGACAGAATTTTCACACTTCGGGCCCGGAATGGGGTGAAATTGCGAGGGCATCAATATAATATGTGGTTTCAATGACTAGATGGGAGGAAAGAGTTTATCCGGTCGATTGAGTACTAGATTTGCGGCTAAATGGCTGACAGCCATCTGGTGGGGTTCTTATCTTAGATCATCATGATAGCACCCTGATAATTAACAAATGAACTAGAGCCTTGCATCCTGTTCTAGTAATCCTACCGTACCTATGCATGATGCATCCCTGCGCGGCTCTTCCGTCTTGAGCCTTCAAGGGCTGTAACTACGCTAATCCAAAAAGGCTATCGTTTTGTCCTCTCCAGCTTAATGCCCGCATGCAGAGTAACTACTTCTGAATACCAGTGGTATGTGTGGAGTACTAGTATCGGCTGACATATTAAATCTTCAAAGATGATACTTATTATAGACCGCATTCTACCTACCGATGGAATTTCTGTTGCTAGTAATTTCAAGTCCAACCGGACTTTCCCGAAGTATATAGTTTGCCACTCACCAGGTATATATATTGAGCTTGCTGGCGGGGTGTCTCTTGACGTTGATTGAACTAACTTTGCTCTTGACGCAGACAAACTGGGTTGCTCTACTACTACTACTACTACTACTACTACTTACAAGTGGTAGTATCCTCTGTTCCCCAGGCGACACCAATCAAGTGTGCCCAGCTGTATCATTGCATTATTGAAGAGTGAACAGAGTTCGTGACCAGGACAGATCACAGCCACGAAGTTATTGATAGATATTACATGGAGTTCTGAAGGGAGAACCCTTATTCCTACTGATAGTATTGGTACTATCAGCTTTGCTTAGGAAGAACAAGGGCAGTAAGTTGTCGCTTGGCTCAGCAATGGGCTGACTTCAAAGGAGACATTGAGACGACAAAGAGCCTTTCAGACGCAAAAGATAGCCGCAGAATAATCCTCAATCAGCACCCTAGCAACGCTGTTTTCCTGAAGATACAATGGATATTCCAACTACGTGGTCCTAGCGCTCTCCTGATGAGTTTGAAAACCATTGCCCCCTTGGTATTCGAGCGGGATATACATCTCCTAGCATGAAAAAGATATCGAACTGAGTATTAGCACCCACTACTGCCAAAGGAAGTGCGAGTCAATCTCCGATTCTTCGCTCAATTCAAATTGCGACGTACCCACCTGGTTGGATCATGTGGGTCTCATTTCAAGTGATGTCAGTCAAAGGAGACAAAGCATACTTGACTTCATTAGCACTTTTGAACCGGGCTGAGCTCTCAAAAAACGCAAGAACACGGAGAAAAGGTGTCCAATCACCCAGAATTCCAGATAAGCATTTCATATTCTGCACCGCTGACAAGATAATATGACGTTCTCACGTTGTGATGAAGAAAGGGGATCTCCGACATCGCCAGTGGAGCCGACGACAGCCGAGGATCGGCAATCCCGTGACAGGCAGTAAAACGAGCTAACTCCGGCTAGCTCCTGACCGCCTCCGGAACAGGCTAGACAGCAGGTGCATCACATGCAACCGGAGGAAAAAAAGAGTGGCGGCCTGAAGTCGGGGGCTTCCACGCCTGCACGAAACAATCAAAAGAAAAAGAAACGCGCGCGCAGAAAGATCCATCAGGTTTCCCTTTCTCAAAAAAAATTATGTGAAGTTGCCGATCGCACTCCAACCGACTTCATTTCATCACCATGCCATTGATTTTGCTCTCGCTCGTTTTCTTCCGTGAGATTTGGGATCGTGTGTGACGCATTGTGATCGTGGCTGGAGAATATTAATGCTTTACCCCGCCGGACCTTCAAGAGAAACAATAGGCAACTTTCCCCTCCACCTTGATTGTTGTCGGTGTTCCACCTCCTCCTTTCTTCTCATCTCCTCCCATCATCTACCATATAGTCTTCTTCGCACCTCTTCCCTTACCTTCAAGCATCTCAAGCATCCCAAGCACTTCAAGCATCTATCAGCCATAGAACTTCTGCGGTCATGGGGAAATTCCCTGCGGCCGTCATCGTCGCCAGGTATGTCCACCTTTTCTTTTGGTTAATGCGCAATCGGGAACTGACTCTTTTCCTTTGTTTAGACATGGCGCTCGCCTGGATGTTGCAGACAAGAATTGGCATCTCACTTCGCCTACCCCCTATGACCCTCCCCTCTCGTATGGCGGCTGGCTACAATCTCGGGCTCTGGGGGCCCGTATCAATGACGTTGTCCAGTCTCTGGATGACTCACTAGACTTTATAACAGAAGTTGACAACGGTATCAAGTCGCCTTCCGACCGTCTACAAAAGCCAAAACCGAAGCGCAGGATTATCATTCACACATCTCCCTTCACTCGATGCCTACAGACAGCCATCGCGGTCAGCTCGGGGATCTGCCAGAATTCGGGCGAGCCAGAGCTTAACCGGTCCTCGAAAGTTCCCAGTTTAGTCCAGTCAAATTCGGATTCTGCCTTGACCCCTGGTCCCATTACATCAAGCGACCATCGATGTCTCCTACGAGTGGATGCCTTCCTTGGGGAATGGCTTTGCCCTAGATACTTCGACGAGATTATCCCGCCGCCCAACTCGGATCGCATGATCACGGCCGCAAAGCTCGAGCTGCTGCGTCGCGAGCACAATTTCGTTCCCGAGGCGGACATCGTCCCTAGACCCTCTGCTGGCTTTTTCCCCGGTGGCTGGGGGAGTGCATCTACTCCGGTTTCTCCCGCCAATGATGTAACAGCGAAGATAAAGACAGAGGCCCCACCCAGTACACGTCAGACGCAGGCACAGAGGTCCCGCGCTGGCAGCTGTGATACCTTCAGCGCTGCTGAAACGACTCGCGGACGGCGAATGCTCAGCAAGATCAATACCAATCTCCCCTCCATTCCAGATGCCGCCTACGTGCCTCCAACGCCTAGCTATGCCATTTCTCCTTCGGACCCCATTCCAGCTGGGTACGTGACGCATGCTCGGGACGCCTGTGTGAAGATCGATTTCCAATGGGACAGTATGCACGGGGAGCAGAACTGGGGTGACGGAGGCGAGTACGGCGAGGAATGGAGTACGATGCATACGCGGTTCAGTACGGGGCTCGACCGCATGCTTGCGTGGTATCGGGACTACGAGTCAACTTCTTCCGGTCGGCCTCGACGACATTCTCAGATGCTCGACAGTTCTGGCGAAGCCAGTTCCCGCAGTGAAGCGGATGACGATACGGAGACGATTTTGGTGTTGATCACGCACGGCGCGGGTTGCAATGCAATGATCGCAGCACTGTCCGGGGAGCCATCCCAAGTGAATGTCGGCACTGCATCTCTCACCTTGGCGGTCCGCAATGATCACATGCCCGAAATGGCTCAAGATGATACTATTGGCGGACCAGTTCGGACCAAGGGATCCAACGAGCCATCCAGCGTGGAGAGTTATGCCATGAAAATGGTGGCTTCAACCGAGCACCTCCGCATCGCTCCCAGCACGTCACGTGTCTCCTCCCCGAGCCAGGTGACCTCCCCCTCAATCTCGTCCTACCGACATCGACTAGCAAACCGCCCATCGCTGTCACAAGGTATGTTTATCATCGGGCCCTCGTCGACATCCGGCCCCAGCACTGTTCCCTGGAATGCCGAGCGACCCTCTACGGCTGTCACTCCTAAGACCTCAGGGCTCTGGGGGTCCAGCGCCGCCGATGGCCCTGAGGACGATATCGTGCCTAACTTTGGCTGGCCTGCCCCGGCGCCGCCCGTCCAAGGAGAAAGCTCGGTCCAGGCCAAGGTGGATGAACCGACGTCTGCCAAACAAGTGCCACAGCGAACACTCTCCCAGCGCGGACTTTGGGGGAGCGCGCCGCTCAGCAAGGACCGTGAAGCGGGACACAAGCGTCGCTGGACTGTGACTGAACGACGACCATGATGATACCAGGTGGAAATAATATTAATTGTATTTTTCGGGTTTGTTTCTTAGGCTTGGAGTTTGGGATGAGACCATCTAGCTAGATTGCATAGTTTTGGGTGTGAATAGCGGTTCATAGCTGACAGGAGTTAATATACCCTTGCTGATACTGATACCACTTACAATTATGGTGCAGACTTGAAGTAGGTAATAAGTAGCAGTCCACTGGATTAAATCATTAGAGGCCATACAGATGTCTATCAAGTGCTGAGACGAACATCTGATTCAGTAATTATACACTACTACTAGCCTACCCATGATTCCATTCCACGAGTTACTTCCCAAATGCTCAAAGCACTCGAAGAATATCGACCACCCATAATCCACACCGCACAATGGCTACACATGCAGAATTTCACTCTACCAACAATAAACCAATCATCCCAAAATAATCACCAATCCCAGAATCCAATTCCACTAATTTCAACCCCTAAAACTAGAATACAATAAGATAAAATAAATAGTACAACACCTCTCATCTCACATCCAATTAACAAACCCCTCCTCTCACCTCTAATCCACCACCAACAAGTCATCTAATACAACAACTTACACTCCCAATTCTCCGCCTCATCCGGATCCCCCTTGCCAGTATACTTCGCCTGGTACGGATAATGACAAACGGGTCTCTGCCTAAGCACCTCCTGAGCATTAGTGGTATTCTTCCACACCGTCGCAACAATACTATCCGGCGCCGTGCCATTCTCCACCCACG